GCCGAGCCGGGCTAAGAGCGGAGGGACATGGCCGAGCTCCAGTGCTGCGTCAGCAGCTCCGTCACCAGGCTGGATCCCGGGCTGACGGGAGGAGCTGTCCCGTGGTGACAGCTGAGGTCGGGCTGCAGCCAAGGCGGAGGGAGAGCTGTTCTGTCAGGGGCTTATTTGCATGTACCGCCTGTAGCGGAGCTGCCTGTTGCACAGCTGCTGTGGCCAGACTTCAGGGAGCAATGTGGCTGACGTGAAGTGACAGGCAGTCCTCTCTTACGAGCCGTCTGTACACGTTCAAAGGGAATTTCTGCTAAGTGTAACCCTTCCCTCCCCTTGGTGTTGCTCTGGCTACCTTTTGTCGCTTTGTCATAGACGCTGCAAGTAGGTTATATACAACTTGGATCAAGTATTTCGTTAGTAAACAAAAGCCAACTAGGATTTTAACGCTCAATGTTGCCAAGTTGCCATCTAGCAGGTTAGTTCTTCCTTTTGAGTTTTGCAACATTCTTGTACTACTGGTTTTTGGTTTTTATTCTTGCATCTGCATCTCAAAAACCAAAATCTTACCTCTGTCTGCATCTTTACCTTTATTGTGCCTGTTCCTGTTCTACATAGAACCCAGCTCCATCCAACTTAGCAATTCCCTCAAGCTGCACAGAAAGATGAGGCAGCTGAAGTTCCAGGAGGAAGGGGTTACATGAGGTGGGAGTATAATGACGCTACATCATACTTACTAAAGATGTGCACTGAGAAATAGAGCAATTCTACATCAATTTCACCTTTCTGAAATAACACTCCATAAAGAATACAATCAACACAGTTTAATTAAGAATTACAGCCACACTATGTCTCAGAACATGAATTCAGTATTCCCACTGCATAAAGCTCCACATCCATACTTTCCAGAACAAGGAAGGGAAAAGATCTGATAGTCTTTAATGCTTACATAATTTCCAAGATGCAAAATATTAGTGAAAACAGTAGTATCCTTTTTGTGTACTATGAAGGTAGTGCTTACTGCTTTCAGCAAGAGAGGGGATTATAAATAAACTTCTCTGAACATTAGGGGAAGGGAAAAACTACATCCGAAGTGTTTCGCGGAGTTAGTGCTTCCAAACAGTACTTCAACCCAGTAGAAGAGCAACAAATCCCCGAAGGTTTCATTTTGCCCTGAAGGACGTCTAAAGCAGGAGTGTAACTTGAAATATATGGCAGTTAACTACACATACACATGGAAACCCACCTTTTAAAAACAAACGGCATTTTTAGTGTTTGGTTCCCTTACACGCAGGCACCAAACCTTCCCTTTTTAGAACTCAGTGAGACTGTGCAATGCTGGAGCAGTAGTCTAAAATATCCTGTATAGTGAATTCCATAGTAATTCCTGATCCAGGATAGCAGCGAGCTATCAGCCCTTCAAAGTGCTTGTATTGCCGTATAAACTCATCTTGCATGGAATGCCACACAACCTGCCAAAGAGAGCGAACTTCAGGAAATGTCAACGGGCACAGTACACTAAGTGAACTACAAAACATTGGCTCATTAATTGATTCTCAGTTCAGGTGTCATTTTTAAACTAAGGCGTGCTAACAAAGTTGAGTAAACTGAGTTGGTACATTAAAAAAAAAAAAGTAGTAAGTTCTTTACCTATTAAGTTTAAAGATCTTTAATGTTTACATGACTCCTACCAAATCTGCAAAGCAGAAAATAGGGAAGAAGAGGAAGATGCCCTAAAAGAGGTATTGCTTTTGTCTTCAAAGAAAAAACCCTGAACCAGAATGGTGCTGCTAATTCACATTTCAGACTTTAAAAAGCTGTTAATACATGCTCAACTCTCGAAATCTACTTATCATTTACTCCAGTGAGAAAGTTTACAGTGTATAAGAAAAAAAAACTTTTAAAACTATCAGAAAAGATATAATTGAAAGTATATTCTGCTATAGTGTACCAGCTAAATTTCATATCAGGTTAACCGTTCATTGAAATCTGGCGCTCCCTACTTCCAGTAGGTTTTGCAAAACAGAGATCACCCATTAATGGACACCTAGGAAATCATAAAAGGAAGCTTCTTTCTGAACTCTACTACGACAGCTCAAATCAATGTTACAAACAAATAGAATCAAAGCAGGATTATAAAAAAAACTCCGCTCAAAATTCATGGTTTTCAGAGTTATGCTGAAGCTACGCACTTCTCACAGAATACATATGCAAAAGCAATAACAAAAGCCTCTGTGTAAACATTACAAGGTTTTTCAGCCATGGTTTAGTTTACCTGAAGCAAGTTTTCTTCTTCACAGAGATGTTTATCTACCTTCTTGTAGAGATTATCCAATCCCTTCTTCACTTCCTTACCCGGATATTCCTTTATAACTTTACGAAGCTCTTGTTTATTAAAAGCCAGTTGATAGCTTACTTCCTCTTCTCGTATACCTTGTGCCACACGAGCTTCAACACCTTCAAAAAAATGCTAACAATAACAGCATTAATGATTATCACAAATCTAAAGTAATTAACTTGACAAGTGTATGCATAGTTAAGTCTTGATTCTGCTTCACGACCGTTGTGTATTCACCCCATTTTTGGTTTTTAATTGTACCTGAAGGCAGTGCTCAGCCATAAACATTAAAGCACAGCCCAACACTAGAGCACTCCATAAGTACTAGCGTAAAACTGAAATCAATCATTTCTAGAAGCAATCAAGTTTTTCTTCCCAACCTTATAACTAATACTGAATCAGCCTGAAACATCTCAGTTAATAAGGCCATAGCCTGGGAAAGTACTGGATCTTTTGGATAAACTGAGTAAGCACCTGAACAGGAATTTCTCTACTTAAACCATAATTACACAACAGCAGTATTTGTCCATAATTGCCCTCTCCCACACCAGTTGGCTCAACATAATAAAAATCGAGGGAACTATGCCTATGAACATGCATGTAGAGCCACACAGAGTTAACTTTATAGCAGCCCATATGGTGGTGTGTTTTGGATTTGTGCCTAAGATAGGGCTGATAACACACCATTGTTTTGGTTATTGCTGCACAGGTCAGACCTCGCCAAAGGATATTCCCACAGCTTGTAACATCATGCTCAGCTATAAAAATTAGGGTTAGAGGAGGGAGCAGGGGTGATGTTTGTCTTCAAGGTGACTGTTTCTCAGAAACTGGCCAGGCATCATTCTGCTTGTGAGAGGTAGTGAGTGACTGCCTTTGCATCGCTTTTTTTTTTTTCTCCCCTCTCCCCCCCTCCCTTCGCCGATTAAACTGTCTTTATCTCCTCCCCCAAGTTTTCTCACTTTTGCTCTTCCTATTCTCTTCCCTGTCCTGCTTGGGGAGGGGAGAGTGAGCAAGCAGTCAGTTATGTGGCAGCTTAGGTGCTGGCCAGAGTCAGCCCACAACAAGTGGGAAGCAGTGATAAAGCATTTTCATTTTCAAAAAGAGAATACATCTTAGACTCTTCAGAAAATGAATGGCTGAAATCCCACTTATGGATAAAGCAATGAACAGTGGGAAACATTCAGTGGGCAGAACTGAGTACAAACCTAAGTTAGCATTCAGTTTAACAGTTCCAACTTTGGACATACAGGACTTCCCTAAAACTTTTCTTATTATTGAACAGTCCAAAACTACAGTAGTTTTCTCTGCAGTTGAGGTGTAGAGATTTATCCCAAATATCCTGATTACTTTTCCCCTCACTTTTTCCTTCCTCAAAACCATTTGCTTAAGACACAACTGATGTGTAGTCAGTACTATTCATTGCCTTGAAAAATTTGGGGGTTTTCATCCAAGACTGTTAACCTCATGAGTAGAGTACTCTTGCCAGGCATGCCTGAGTCTAAAGTAATAAAATAGAGATTACGATAGATGCAGTGATAAAGAGATCAGACAGTGTAAACTAAGCACTTGAGAAAGACCACTCTGTACCGTTTAAATGTACATAGACTCAAATATACTTACATTTAATTTCTCGAGAGGCTGTCCGAGTGAGTAAATTACGTAAGACTGAAGATGATCACTGTATTTCTGTTTGGCTTCTTTTTTCTCAGCCTCAAGACAAGAAATTTTCAAACGGGAAAGTGTTGCAAAAATATGATGGAAGTTCTCCATCATGACCACATCTCTGGGTGTTTTCTGGCTTTCATTAGCTACTTTCTCAACTGAAAGAAAAAGGAAGCAAAATACTTAAAATACCAAAAGGACAATCAAATTCAGAAAAAAATAACTGATAACTGTAATACTGTCAGAAAAGGAATTTTGTAACATAAGCAGTAACAGATATGTACAGGCTCTAAGACCATGAAATGTGTATGCCAAAAAAGTCACTTACAAAAAGATACAAAATAGTGACTACATATGGTCATTTACATAAGTGACAAACAACCCACCTTCTGTGGAGGCTTACAAGCATGTTTTCATTCTCCCTAATAAGTTTCACATGACAGAACTATATAAAAAAAGTCTCACTCCCCTCTTTGCTAGCTTCAGTAAGGTGGTGGCTTTTTAAAAATGTACTTCCCAGTCTCTCAGTTTTTGCCTAGCTTATTAGTTTTGTGATCAGAGTTACTGTCAATCCCCAAATTTAATAATAAAAATGGATAATCCTGCACATAAATCTCTTACTTTCATGCCCCCCCCCCAAAAAAACCCCCAAAAATAGGGCAGGCAAAAGGAATTCTACGTATCACTCCCTTATTGTGCCTAAAAGCAGGCTGAAAGATGGTGGCTTGAACAAAGAGTGCAATTAAGTCTCTATTCCCATTCATCCATTAATCATTTTGCTGATACTACCAGGATGCCCACTGTGAAAGTGATCCTGGGCACAAGAGTATCAATAAAGACCACAGATTCATTTCAGTCAACACCAAATTGCCAACTAGGAAAAAGTCTGCTACTGCCAATTTTGTTCTTCCCTTCTTTAATTTTCTAAATCTGTGTCATCCCTCCCCCCCACCCCCAGTTCTACCTGAAATACTACATCTTTCTGGCCTGTTTCAAACATTACTTGTAAATTAAATATCCTACTGCATTGAACATAGCGCTTGCACCAATTTTGTACATAATTTTCGACTTTGTTTTGTCATTCTTTACTTCTATGCCTTATCCTCCCCCATCATAATTCTTTGTTCTTTAAGTTTGCTCTGTACTTGCCTGAAACAGATTTTGTTTCTTCTTTGGTGTTTGACTGGCATAATTTTGAACCCCTTTTAAAACATGCTTCTCTAAATTCTTCCTACACAAGTTATTTTATCATTGTATGGTTTTGCTTGTCTGTTGGCGTTTGCTTAGTTTTATCACTTGAACAGTAAATTCTTAAGGACAGAAAAGTTGGGTGCAATCAAAAAACCTTTCCAAAACCTACTGTCCTTGGGACACTCCTGCTGACTACATACGGACTCTTGGTCTACTGTACTATGAAGTAATATCTCCTACAGTTTCCTAATATGTTCAGAACCACTATGCTATAATTGCCTCAAACTAGCTTTATTGACTCTACTGTCTCCTCTTGCTCAATATTCCCCTAAAAAAAGAGGCAAGCCTTAGTGGTTGGGAAACAAGGAGCTGTTTGAAAGTTTGCAGGTAGATCAGCAGAGAGGTCCGTCCATCTGTGTCCCCCCATTTTAAAAGGGAAGGACAGTTTTTCCAGAGTTCATTGACATGCATATCCTTCCCACTTTTTTTTTTAAACGTTAAATAAAACCAGTAGAACAAGGGTGTTGCTGCTCTTTTTCCAAACTATAGCTGGGAAAATAGGGAGGACTAGAGAAACATTCTGCAGTGTCAGGCTAGGACACAAAGGACGTACTCTACCAAGAAAGAGTCAAATTCCTAGCCAGAACTCAAGTGATTTATTTTATACAGGGCTGTGAAGATAAACAGCATTAGGGCCAAATGCCAGGGATACCGTCCAGATTAATCTTCTCATTTAAGCTACACTGGGGGAGAAAAGACAGGAAGCCACTTCAGACTGAGTGTGTCCTGTTGCTGCCATCTCCTCTCTCCCTCCAGAGTTAACCACATCCCTTTGTCATAACTGAAAGTTACTTTACAGGTACGTACAAAGGGAAGTATCTACAGTTTGCTCTTAAAAACTGTATTACAATCAAAAGGTTTACACTTGGTCTCCTACCAATAACAGAGATAACCAAAATTTCAGCACAATACCAATCATGTGGCTTCCAACGGAGTTTTTTTTAAAAAAAAAAAAAAATCTATTAATTGGAGCAAAATTACAAATAAATAGGAGGAAACAATCATTTCAGTAACTATTACAACCTCAGAAGACCTACCACTGACAAAAACAGCTCGAATAAGTTTTATGTAGGCTTTATCTAGATCTCCTCGTCGTTCTGCATTTTTGAAAATTGATTCAGCGAGGGCTGCAAACTCTTCAAATTCAGCAACAAATGGAAGGATCCCAACTTTACTCTTCTTTGAGATTTTTACTTCATCCATCTGCTTCATTTGATTACTCTTAAATTTAAAACAAGAAGAGATGTTAGCTTCTAATATATGGCTCCAGACCGTGTAACAACTAGTAAAAGAAAAGAAAAACGCAGACGTACTGAAAAACTGACATTTATTCAAACATGGAAATAATTTTATCTTTCAATTAATATATCTTGGTCTTCCTCCCTTTCTACCCTTAAAAATTTGTTAAGAAATAAAATAATTGGAAAGAAAAAAGGAAGATGGCCAAGTAAATCTTCCAGCTTTTATTCTCCCTTGTTTACCTTCTTAGTATTAAGGAGGAAAAAAAAAGGGGGGGAAAAAAAACAACCCCAAACTTATCCATCACAAGGAATTAACAATTTCCATTCTATAATCTAACAAGGAACTTTGCTTTTCTGATTCAGCCAAGCTAACAATTCCTTTTGCTACCAGAAATTTCTTTAATCTTCTACTGAAATTTTATTTCTGAGTATAATCCCCTCCCCCCCCAAAATCAGCTTCAAAATATTTTAAGCATTAAACTGATCAAGAACGGTCAGTCTTATTATTATATTGGCCTAGAGTCAAATTACATTTATGACAATTTAAAAGAAGTCATACCACAACTATGTCTTCACTAAACTTGCCATTATTTCATATAATGGTCATATTGTATTAGCAAAAGCAAGTTTCTGACAGCAGAAGCTGCTTCTCCTGCTGCCAAAAGATTTGCCATTTTATCTAAACCAAGTTTTTGTTACATACAAGACAGAAATAACGGAACACATGGAAGAGACGTCTATTTGGTATATTACACTTAAAGAGGAAAAGTATGTAAAAAAGGCAGAGAGCTATAGTTTACTTGACTGACTTCAGTAATATCAGTAAGAGTACAAGTTTAAACAAACAACTAAAAATGTCAACTAGCTGACAGCAGTGAAAGAGGGGTCGCATTTCTTACAAACAGCTAATTATTGAAGAAAACTGGAATGGAGAGGAAAAAGAAACACAACCACCAATTAGTTTATCTTTTTTTTAAGCTTTGGCCAGTAGAAGAGTAATAAAGTTACCCATTTTCAGTTCAAATTAAAAGCAACAATTTAACTGTAAAGAAATGCAAAATCAAACTGGGTAGGAGTGGACTTCCTGCATTATAGTTAGCTTATTCAGAATAACTGAAGAACTTACAATGCATTTATCAAAGTTCCTTTTGACAGTCACCAAAACGTTTCCAAGTGTTGTGCTGAGAAAGGAAGCTGGGTCCACATTTTGTGCTGTCCATACATGATGACTCATCTTAACTAACATATAAAGGGAATTAAAGCTATCGATCTTGTCCCCCAGTGCTATAAGATTATTCAGCTCAGGTTCAATACAACGGAATATTTTTGTCATCATTTGTCGGATCATGTCCTTCCTATTAAAAATGCATAAAATAAAAATATTACTCTGACAGTTTACTAGGCTATTTCACATGTTCTTTGATAACATTGTTAGGATAAATTTATTTGGTATAATAGTCTCATTTGCATTCAACAAATCTCATGATTTTCAGAATGCTGCTAAGGGAAGAAATGCCAACGCCACACAGTAAAAATCAATAGTCATAGGTATAAAATATTCCCAAAAGTATTTTCTGTGTGGAAGCTGTCACACACATTCATAACTTTGCTAAGCATATGTTCGAAAGCATATTTTACATATTATAGCACCTAGTTTCACTTTGCAAACTATTAGAGAACTAAACATCTTTTTTTATACTATTATAGACAGAAACATCCATCTTATATACAAAAATTTTTATATTTACTGACACGTTCAGTGTCTAGGTACAAAGTAAGAGTTCTCTATTCATTTTCACGAAAAGGGAACAATTTCTGATTACAGAGAAAAAAGTATTGTATGCCAAATAAGTTCACATGTAGGCTTAAGAATCAATAAATATACAACAGCAGCACATACTCAGATGATATTGTTTGTGGAACACCAGAAGTGTATGAACGAGATAAAGTTCCTCCATCCATTTCCTCTGCTTCATTCTGCAAGAACAAGGAATGTATATATAGGAAGCTGAAAGCTTGTCTCCTGACAAAACCAACATAATTATAAATTTTTTTTTTATTTTTTTTAAACTCAAAGTAGCAAATACAGTGGCTTGCAAGGTGCTGGTAGTTTTCTGGTCATGTTCCCCAGAATACACTACTATTCAATTATTCCCCATTGCCTTCCTACATAGCATGATGAACTGTTTATTGTAATCTTATGAGGAAACACAGCCATGGCAAAAGAAACATGTCAGTCCTCCTTTAATACATTTTGTAGTGGTCAGCCAAGAATAAAGATTCCACCAGCTAATGGAGAAAACCAAATTATTGATCACCTGGATATAACTGCCAGATAAATTCAGAAGTTATCTTTTAAACATGTCTCTTATGAGGCCTGTTCAATATTTTTTACTTCAGTGAGAGAATTAAGAGCCATACCGTTGTTGTTCCTGAGATGCTCTGATGTTGCTGTAGTTTGAAAAATTTACTAATGAAGTCCTGTTCTGCCAGACACAGAGGCTCTAGTTCACTTAATACTTGCTCGAAAATCTAAAGAAAGCCAAATATTTTATCAACACACCAAATACTATGAACAGTAGTACTAAATCTTGCATAGGCATTTATACTTTCTATCTTCAGTAAGCTTTAGAAGGCTCCTTTCTACTTAGTCAAAATGGAAACAGCTTGTAATAATATCTTTAAAAGTGATACCTGCATCTTTAACATAGTCCCTTCTCGTCCATATAACACTGGGAAGGAACAGAACAATCCATTTTTTTCCCCACAACTAGAAGCTTTCTAGTCACAGCCTGAGGAAGAACTTTTGTGCTATAATGAAAACATTCACATTTTAGTAGTAAGTCATGGGTTCTGCCACCCTCTTTTCCACCTGGCTTGCTGAGAGGAAGATAACAAAATTAAAAGCCTCAGGGAAGAAAAACAGGTAAACTGCGTACATAGAAGATAACTGCTCTGTAGAAAAAGTTTCTACATAGCTGCTACAGAAACCAACAGTGGGTTTTGTACTGAAATTGAAGTATTCATCATGATTTTTAACCTGAAATGAAACACTATTTTGGAAATAGTTCATTAAAATAATTTAATTTTATTAATACAATTTCAGTAGTTTGTAAGACAGATGTTAGACACACTTCTAATCTGTCATCTTTACACAACACAGAATTTTCTCCACAAGTATTTAAGGATTAAGACATGCAATAATTTACATAAATGAAACCAATCTAGCCACACAGTAAATCCACACTTCTGAAGATTCCCCTAGGAAAAAAACTGATTGAACAAACCTACTAGGTCAGCACAATAGCTAACAACTTGTGTATACAGTAGTCACACTCACATGTCCCCAGTGGGTGCGAGATAAAGTCAGAAGTTGGAGTTAGCACTATACTTGTGTAAAATAGTTTTTAAGAGCTATCATTTTAATTCTAGACAAGTTGCTGCTGCAGGTGTGCAATAACTGTTTCAGGCATATAATGCTTCCTTCTGGAAAAAGACTGAGCAAGGATTTGAAGAAGTCAGAAGAAAAATGCTTATCTTCATCAAATAATTCAATAGAGAACAAGAAAATTACTTTCATGTCTCACTCCAATAACAGCTCCTTTTCCCTCCACAGTACTTAAGAGTTAATGCCACAAGAAGTAAGGAGTACTGTCACCTTTAAGGTTTCGGGGCAGGGGAAAAAAAAAACCCACAACAAAAACAACAAAAAAAACACCCAAAACAAATCAAAACCCACCAAACAAACCCGAAAACAGATGCTGAGGACAGCAGGTTTATAGACAGATCCTGAGGACGCTAATAATAACTTAGTACCCCTGGCTAAAGCTGAAAACCTAACTTTGACGTGAAACTAGTATAAATAAAATTTTAGGGCCATGCTCAAGTCCTGGCTAAAAGAAGATTATGCTTCTTATCTTTCACTTTTGCTTACGTATTGGCAAAAAGTAACAGAACACATGAAGAAATTGAGGAAAAAACCCACATTTCTCACATTGATAAAAAAAACATCAGTTGAAGAGTCCATCAGTTAAATTCCTATTTGCTTAAAAATGCATAGTGGGCCTAAACTTAATAAAGCATTTTTTATGCTTGATATTCTTTACAGATCACACTAAGTGTATAAAGGAACTAGATGGAACCTTATAATCAGAGAATAATACTCTGATCTAAATATTTCTTAGAAACTGCCTTTATTAGATGTGCGGTGCATACACATTTTGAAATTGGCATGTTTTAAGATTTAAACTACAGATATTTAAACTATACAAGAAGGATATGCAAGACGCTTCTAATACAAATCTAAGCAGGAATCCTATGCAACAGTTTGGCTTTACCTTATCAAATTTTGTTCTGTCAGCCACATCGAGGTCAGAGGCAGACATGTTTCCCATATCCAACAGTGAGGATGACTGAGACCTACGGTTTCCCGAACTCTGAACAGAGAGTTTATTTAGGCTAGAAGTAGACCCAGTCAATTTTCCAGAACTTCCATGAAGACCTGTGAAATAAAGACACTATGAAGAAGGGAAGCAAAGGCAGAATAAAATACTCAAGAACAGGTTCTTTACAGAACATACAAGATCAAGAGTTGCTAGTAGTCCTACATTAAAAATCAAACAACTCAATTTTGTCTAAGCTACAAATGCTTTTGCTATGAACACACTCTTTTCTCATTACAAGGAAATACTTCAGCAAGTTTCAAAGTACAATGTAGCTAAAGCCCTCACTGTAAAGTACAGGTATAGGTATGAAAGGAACAAAACCGTGAAATAGAACACTGGGATAGATATTCTCCTTGAAAGCTTGGAAGCAAAGACCAGTCATGATCTTTGTGAATATACTTTGGGCAAAGGCTGCCACAAGCAGAAGAATTAATCCATAAGAGGGAAAAAAATTAAAAAGCTTTATACACATACAGGCATTTTTTCATCTCAAACTTTATCTTTCTGCTGTTAACATCCTTTTCTCTATATAGTTTGCTTCAGCTATTTTGCTGGACCTACAATCCCACAGTAACTCTACTGGTAATGCCCCCCTCTCCTTTTGATAATAATTAACATTCAGACATTTCTTCCTGATATTGTGGGGCCTTCTCTTAGGTGAGAAGCATATCTTTTTATTTTTTCCCCCACATTTTCAGAAATGTTTGAGTAGGATGGAGAAAGCTAGTAAAAAAAAAGACCAAGAAATCATCAATATTTGTCCCCCGTGTAAACTTCTCACATCTCATCCACAAAAAAACTTAAAAGCAATCTTGCAAGTGTCATGTAACTGCTATGTTGATACCTAGTCTAGGGACACAAACAAGACAAACTCTATAGTTGTAATAGGAGTTGTTACCTCAACCTACTGGAAGAGTTGGAAGACTACAACAAGCTCACAGGCACAAACATATTTTTTAGGTCAACTGGTAGCATGGGAAAACCAAAAGATACTGCCTTTACCTGCAAACCTTCTCAATTTCTATGTTGGGCCATTTTAGCCACGCTTAATTTTTGCCTTGCAAAAAACCAATGGTTCTGTTAATGCTTATTTCACTCTGAATGGAGTGCTTCAGTGTTAGGTAGATTTTCCATGATGCAGTACTACATCTTTACATTGACACACATGCATTGACAATACCAACTAATGCAACTAGTTATATACTCACTCTCAGTTTCCTGTTTGACAGCACTTTCTTTTCGAGGCAGTGTAGCTGGGATGGATTAGGTTGCAAGCATCAAAGACAAAGACAAGTTAAAATGCAGTTTGCACAAACCATGCACAAGATGCAAGTTAAGCTCTAACTGGAAAGAAACATGCAGAGAACTATAAGCAGCAAGTAACTACATTGCAAACACGTTTAGTTGGAGAGGTACTATTCTAGAAATTCAGTATCTAAGCTACGTGGAAAACAGTAAGTTTCAGGTACTAAATTTACTTTTTCTTATACAGTGTGTTCAAAGAACATTTTTGGTAACATGTATTCAAGTTCTCCCAAATTCAGAAGTCCATTAAATGAGGGTTATATTTGTCAGAATTAATATTACAAAAGACTCAGTTTCCAAGATCAATCATCATATCAATAATAGATGTGAAGGAATTAAAATGTATTTATGTAATTTTGTACTGAGTCAGAGATATTGTCCACCTCTTCAATTTAAGAAAAACACACCAATACTGCAAAATCATTCATATTGACAGTAAGACTGGCTAACCTTTTCTGTTTGCAAATCGGGATGTTTACATAGAGAACACATCGTTTGTATTAATGCCACACCAAAAATTGATGACTGCAAATTCGGAGGGGATAAAAACAATAAATATATAGTAAAAAAAATTTACAAGGTGGGGTTTTTTTTATTTTTCCTGGTTTTTGTGGAATAAAACACTTGAGGAAAGTGGACTTCAATATGAAATTTAGAGTAAATGGGCATTTGTAGCAAATAGAGAATCCCTAACCAGTAAAAGGCATTTGCATACATACACTAGAAGCAGTATGTGGTATTAAGAAGATCTTGATGAGGATGGATGCTACAAGCCCCCCAGAATGGAGCAGGCAAGCAGAACCTACTGTAATAGAATGAGTAAATACTTCTAAATGCCACAAACATGTCTTAAATACCAGATGTTCTCAAGTAGGCAACACTACTGACAATTATAATATCAAACTTGAATTTAATTCCAGCCTAGGGTTTAGATCTTGGGGATTTTGGCAGGTTTTGAATAAAAAAGTTTAGGCCTGATATATTTGGCATACTCATCTGTCATGCATTCGTCCCACTTCATCATCCTCAATTTCCAAACGCATGGGACTGTATTACAGAATGTGAAGAGCTACAGGCAAAGATCAGGCCCTGGACAATCTGGGAGCCACAGTAACTTCT